TTCCAACTGGGTCAGGCAGCTGGGGCCAGGATCCTGTAAGATTTGACATTCCCCAAAATGTCTGTATGGGGGGCAGCAGTCCACCTCTCAGGGAAAAGGAGTTGCCTAGCTGACCATACTGTAGATATCTACCACATATTAAGCACATGTAAATTTTTGACAGCAAAAATAAACGTACTAATTTATATTTACCTGATCTGTGTGAGAGTAGTCACACACACACACACCCTCATACCCATTTATTCATTCATTCATTGTATTCATTTAGTGAATATTCTCTATATGCCTGATACTTGTTTAATTGCTGGGGGTTTCGAGAAAATGGAAGAAAGATGAACAAGAAAACGAATTTTTGAAGGTGGTGTGTTTGTGCCTTAACCATCCAACCATTAGAATACTCAGAAAAATCTTGCTTCCAGTTGTATTCCTATTGTTCAGAATGCCTTGTCCCTTTAGTCTTTTCAAGTTATGTTTACATGTTCACATTTGTTAAGGGCTATATGGTTTTTCAGAGAAAAGGCCTATGCTAGGTTCCTGCAGTCACTGGAAAGAGCAAGTATGAGTGTCTCATGAATTAAAAAGTTTGCATGATTTAAGTGAGGAAGGCTATTATGGCCACAACAGGGAAGAGGTTGGAGCTGGAGAAGCAGATGGGGTGTAGATTACAAGATTTAAAAGGCTAAGGGAAGGAGATTATACTAAATCTGATGATGGAAATTAATAGAAATTAATATAAATTTCTATTTATAGAAAAAATAGCTTTATTGACACTGTTGTAATCATTATGTACAGAAAGTCATTTTATCCTCAGAACAGCCCAATGAAATGAGTATGATTTTTACACCCATGTCACAGGCAAGGAAGCAGAGGCTCAGAGAGGTTATGTAATTTACCTACGGACACCACGCTAGTGAGTGGTAGAGCCAGAATTGTAAAATTCTAGTTTTAAAGCTGAAGCTCTCAATCACATGTGTTTTACACATCTTTACCACATACTTTACCACATACTTTACTACATCATAGTAATAAGTCATAGGTAAGTAGAGCCAAGAGTGGAATCTTATTTTGACACTATAAAGTTTATACTTTTAGACATTACATGATAGTGGACTGAGAGAGGAACAGATTTGTAGGTAGAAATTATGAGCTCCCTTTGAACGTGTGGGATAGTTTAAGTTCTTACAGCGCTAATCTTCCTGAAAACTTCTTGGGTAGGTATCCCCAATTTATGAAACAGCGTCAGTTTTGTGGTTTTATGGGTACAAAGCAGCAGCACAATTTCTGGTACTTA